AAATTTAGAAATATTTCAAGATTATTTCAAGAGTATTTGACAAGCATTCTTCCACTAGTTTGAGTAGAGTTTGCCAAATACTTGGGTTGTATACAAATGGGACAGCAACAACATTATAACTCCCATTATCATCCATCTACAAAGTACAAAGTGAATGATTTAGTTTTAATCCATTTTCTCAATTTTATAATACATTGTTCAAATGGCTCCCTACTTAGTAAAAAGGGCTATATCGGGTGTTGTGCTAAGTTGGATCATAAGTTCATGAGGTTCAGCATAACATCCAATAGTCTGATCCTCTAGAAATTGTGTATATACAGCAGTTAACATTTTATATAAAAGGATCATGAACAATTACCACACTTACAAATCCATTAATGCCTCCTCCTCATGTTCCTCCAAATCTCAACCCATCTATTAGAAAACCTTAATTGTCTTTTATCATTTTTAGAGGAGGGGATAATGTGAGGTCCAAGTGTATGGCTATGATGCTATATATCAATATTAGCATAGTAGGATTTTGATAGCTGTTAGATTAGTTTTAATCTAGACCACTCGCTCTTGTATATAAGTAAGAAATTTTGAGCTAATTGATATGTATATTTCTGTATTCCATTTCCATATTCCATGCACTCATAAAATTATATTATAATTTTATTTTTTATAAAATTTAAATAAATTATTCTAATTTTAAAATATTTAAAATTAAATTTAAAGCATCCTCATTATATATAATTAGATTATCCTCTTGCAGCTGTCATATACCTCGGTCTTTGCAAAACTCTCTAGGATATACTTTGCATTACAACAAAATTCTAACATGCCTCCACCTGGAAGAAAAGAATTTAATATTTTATTTAATCCAGCTTTTATGATTTGTCATAATTATATTTAATAAAATAATAAATAAATAAAATATAAATTTAAGAGATATTTCAAGAATCAATGCAAAAATGTTTATAAATAAAACTTTAATTTTTATTTTGTTACCAAAATTTGTGTTAACACTTATCTTTTCAGGAAACTTAAATATCTTACAACCTGAAAGTGTAGAGATAATTCTATTAACATTAAATATGATGATTTCAAAAATTGATTTTCAAGTAGTACCTACAGGTCAAAGTATGAGTTTTGAATATAGTTTATTAGATGAAAAGCTTGGGAATTTAAATTTAATTAATCAGTTTTGGATATTTGATAGACTTAGTGACTTAAGTACATGTGTTGCATATCGTGGGAATAAATATGTTAATGAAGAAAATGTTATAAAAGAGTTTAAGGATCTAATTAATACTTATTATCATTCTATACAAGAATTAAAATCATCTTTTGTAACTATAATATCTGATTATTTTTCTATTCATTATGTTGTTACAAGTTTGTATAAAATTCCTGATTTACAGGAAATGGTACCGAAAAATTTTCTTAGTCAATTTAAGGATGGTTGTATAATTTATTTAACAACACTATTTAGTACTATGCCTAATCATTTTTTGAAAAGCACTCAATTTTTACAATCTTCTAATAAAAAAGTATATCTTTATTTGCACGCAAATTGTTTATTGGCACTATATAGTGGTAACAATATTAAATGGTTTAAACAACCAGAAGTATCATCTTTTGATTGTGAACTTAGAGTTCAAAAAGATGGAAATTTAGTATATTATAAAAATAATGGTGAAGTAATTTGGTCTCCAAATATATATTGTGGACCACATGATGATTGTGTTACAGAAACATACTTATCAGTTCAAAATAATTGTGAATTAGTTTTATATGAATTACGTCAGAAAACATTTTCTGTAAATCCCAGACCTATTAGAAGATGGTCTTCAAATTCATATCCATGTTAAATTAGTATTTATTAAAATTAATTTCAAGATTAATAAGTAAATCTAGAGAATTTTATATTATTAAATATTCTAAATTTATACTTTAAATTTAATTTATCAAGAATTTTTTATAAACTATATCTAAGAAATTTATCTAGTTTTTTTAAATTATGAAATTAAATAAAATTTACTATTGATATTTCTTTAAATATTAGATCAATTTGTATCAAGTGAACCCCTTGATTGTACTCTTAAAAGAAGGATGGAGGGTCATTGAGTTATTTCCATAAGGACCATCCAATAAAGAATATAAACTATCAAGAATATATGTCCTATTGATTAGACAAGGAGGTTCTATTTCAATTAATGGTTATTAGCATTATTTGTCTGAGTAATAAAAACAAATTAAATAACTTACAATGTTTGGCTTAAACGAGGCCCTACAAGTAATAGTTATTGTGACTATTAGGCAAGTAAAAAATAAATAAAACACTAAACATGTGTAGCAAATTTCAATCTTTGCTAGGCCATCAATAGCAGAACTGTATGATAGTGTTCAGAAATATTGGATATCAATTTATTGATATTTTTAATTTATTATGGCTGATTATAGTGTTAAAGTCTAAAAGTTAAATTTAAAGCTTTAAAGATCTAGTCTGTTTTACAACACGAAGTATTTGGAAGTTGCCTGTTGCAATTGCACTCAGTGTTAAGGGGCAGATATTATAAATATAGTTTTTTGTGTAATTATGTACAGTATTACAAAATTTTATTGCTTAACACTAATTCTTCCTGAAAATTCTACTCTTAAGATGGCGATGGACCAGCCTTCTCATCATCAATCAAAGCTCTGATAATTGGGTGTACATATTAAGTTTGATAAACATATGTATATATTTGAGTTTTCATCTGAGCATTTTGGATAACGCAAAATGCGCTCACCATGGGCATTTGCCACTGCACAAAAGGTTTTCTCGTAATATCAAACTTCGAGTTAACACAACAACACAAAGATTCGCATTGTCTGAAGATTTCCTTTTGGTCTTTTGAATATTGAATTTGTTCTAGCATTTCTGTCAATTTATAGAAGAACCCACGGGAAACGCGTGTACAACAAAACCCTTATTGGTTAGAGAGAGAGAGAGAGAGATGGGTGTTGTGAGCATGTTGTTGGTCTCCACTGTCACTCCAGCCACTCCCACCTTGCCCATGAATCGAATTCACAAGCTTTCCAATCTCGATCTCCATGTCTCCTTCGATTACTACACCAAGCAAGTCTACTACTTCCCGCCGCCGGCCCCAATTGATGACCCTCAGCACGAGAAACCGATCGAGGAGATCGCGAGCAGCTTGAAGGCATCGCTGTCGCAAACTCTGGTCTTGTTCAATGTCTTTGCAGGCAGAGTCCGCGAGAATGGACCTCGGCTGGAAATCGAGTGCAACGATCGAGGGGTGCCATTTCTTGTCGCCACCGCCGACGCAAGTTTCAGCGACTGGGGCGATCTCGCCCGCTGCTCGATTGAGCACGAATTGAATCCCGGTGAGACTTACATCACCAATCCGGTCGACTCGCCGCTTCTCAAATTCCAGGTGGAGTGAATAACTAAAAGAGGATAACTCTGTTTTAACTCCGATTTGCAGCTGACGAGATTCAACTGCGGCGGCATTGCGCTGGGAGTTGTGACCGCCGAGCTCATCGTCGACGGATCTTCCTACTTCGAATTCATGCGATGCTGGTCACAGATCCACAAGGGCTCCTCCCCGCGAGATCTCACTCCCCCAGTCTTCGATTCCTCTCTCCTCAAAGCCCGGGAGCCGCCACAAATCACCATCCCAGTCCGGGACTACACATCGTCGCCCAAGCCATCCACTGATGCCATGGGCAAATCCAGCCAAGAACACAATGCCTCCGCCAAGCCGACACTCGTCAAGCTCTTCGAGATGGATCCCCAGCAAGTGGACAGCCTTGTCCGCGAGATCCAGTCCGGTCCCTTTGGATTCGACACCCCGAGCTCGTTCGAGGCCACCTGCGCCATGATCTGGAAGGCCATGACCGAGGCGCGAGGCCTCCCCGACTCCACTCTCACCACCTACGTCTACGCCATCTCGCTCAAGGCCAAGAACCGATGGAACCCCCCAATCCCAGCCGCGTACATTGGCAACTCGGCTCACTCGCCTTGCCTGTCTGCCAGCGCCGGAGAGATCAAGTCCAACCATGTCTCGTACGTGGCACGGCTCTTCCGGCAGGATATTCGAACCACCACGCCCGAGCATATCCAGTCGGCCATCGACTGGATGGAGCTGGAGATCATTCGCGGCCGCAAGATCAACTTCAACTGTGACTTTGTGGGAGGAACCGGGGTCTACAGCACCAGCTTGCACACGTTTCCGGTGTATGGAGTTGACCTTGGCATGGGGAGGCCCGTGCATTATTCGCTTGTCATGCAGCCGTGGTATGGGAATGGGGTCGCAATTGTCCTTCCGACGCCCAAGGGCGGCCGGAGCAGACGATTGCTCGTATCATTGCCCCGGGAAGAGATGCGCAAGCTGTGCGAGCACGAGCTCTTTCAGAAGTTCACCACAGCTGTGTTATGATTCTTGTTTGGCGCTGTGTTTGTTCAGCGACTTGTTCTACTGAGATTTTGCTTTTGAAGGTTTTATTTGGATGGTAGACGCCGACCTTCCAGAATTTCTTGACTCCTTCTCTCGCTCGGCCCAGCCGTAGCTATCAATGACTCGGCACAATCTTTATAGGCGCAGGCGAATAAGGGCTGGTGACGAGAAACACGACCAGATGCAGAACACTCTAGAAGATAAACCAAATCAGTCATGCTTATGACAATAAACGAATGTTCTCCTTGCTTCGAGAACATTGGTATCAATGATGTTTCCAAACTCAAACATCCCTTTGGACCAAAAGTCAATACGGCAAAAGCTATGGCTCCTTGGTGGCTGGGAACTGATTACATACATAAACTATGGATATAATAGGAAAATACATATAAGATTGTTTACAGTAGGGATGGCGTTCGATTTTTTTATTTATTTGTGGTGCTCATGTCAAGACAGCTATGTAAAACATTTTGTATAATTGGTCACATCATGCTTCATAGGGGCGATGTGATTGAAACTGCACTCCACGATGTTTCTTGGTAGATCATTGTCATGCTTAGTTTGATTGTTGGTACGAGGACAGCAGGAGGAACTGAGGCCCATCCCAGAGTAAGCTCTGCTCCAAATCCATAAAAAGTTTAATGTTTTCTCGTGCCAGGACGAGGCAAAGAAGCAAGACTTTGCCTCCAATATCCGCCAATGCAGCGACCTCGCCACCCTCCGGTTGCTCCACGCCCAGATCACCGCCAGCGGACACCATCGCCGCCCATTCCTCGGCAATCTTCTCGTCCAGATGTATGGCAAGTGTGGGAGCATCGAAGACGCGCGCGCCGCCTTCGCTGCCATCGCCTCGCCAAACATCTACTCGTGGACGATCCTGGTGGCGGCACACGTCCAGGCCAGCGATCTCTGCGACGCCAGGGCGGTGTTTGATGCGATGCCGAGTCGCGACGTGGTGGCCTGGAACTCGATCATCGGGGGCTACGCTCGGCGCGGCCACTGCGGCGAGGCGATCGATCTTTTCTGCCGGATGGACCTGGACGGCGTGCGAGCTGATGCCGTGACGTTCCTGGCGATGCTAGACGCTTGCGCTCGACAAGGATGCCTGGAGCTGGCACGAGAGATCCATGCGATTGTGATCGAGGAGAGATGTGGATCGGACTCCAAGATCAGAAACTCGATCGTCAACATGTATGGGAAGTGTGGCGGAGTGGAGGAAGCTCGCCGCGCGTTTGATTCTCTTGAAGAGAAAACGGTCATTGGATGGACTGCTGTTCTTACGGCGTATGCCCAGAACGGGCACCTTGCGGAGGCGAGGGAGACCTTTGCCGCGATGCCCGAGAGGAATGTGGTGTCGTGGAATGCTATCCTGTCCGCGAACGCGCAGCAGGGGAACCATCGGGAGGCGCTGGAGCTCTTCTTCGGGATGAATTCGGAGGGAATTCGGGCTAGCGCCATCACGATCATCTGTGTGCTGGATGCCGCGGCGAGCGCTGGCGATCTAGATGCTGGGATTGGAGCCCATGCCATCGCGATTGAAGCTGGGCTTGCGGGCGAGATGATTGTCGCCAACGCGCTGCTCCACCTCTATGGCGAGTGCGGGGAGCTTGCGGCTGCGGAGGCGATGTTCGCGGCGCTGGGCGATCGCCACCGCCGCAACACAATGTCCTGGAACGTGATGATCTCCGCGCGCGCGCGCGTGGATCCCGCAATGGCGCTGGAGACGTTCTGGGCGATGAATCTGGAAGGATCCCAGCGGCCCAACGTGGTGACATTCGTGAGCGTCATGGACGCTTGCGCGAATTCCTCCAATCTCGCGCAGGGCAAGCTCGCCCAAGCCCACAGCGCCGCGCTCCTCCCGCCCAGCATCATCCTGGCCACCGCGGTGGTGACGATGTACGGTAGGTGCGGCCGTATTGACACCGCGCGGGAAGTGTTTGACGGAATATCCTTGCCGGACGTCATCGCTTGGAGCGCGATGCTGACGGCATATTCGCAGAGCGGGCATGGCAAGGAGGCGCTGGCGGTGCTGGCCGGGATGGACGTCCTCGGCCTCAAACCCAGCGCGGTGACGTACGTCAGCGCGGTGGACGCGTGCGTCAGCCTCGAGTCCATCCGCACCGTCCACGACGGGATCGTCGACGCCGGATTCCAATCCAACGGCGCCGTGGCCAGCGCGCTTGTCCACGCGTACGGCCGCTCCGGCGCGCTGCCGGACGCGGCCGAGGCCTTCCGTACCGGCCCGCTACGAGACGCCGCGCTGTGGAACGCGCTCATCGCCGCGTTTGCGCGGAACGAGCTCCCGGGTTTTGGGGTGGCGGTGTTTCGGGAAATGGTGGCGGACGGGGTGGCGCCAAACGAGATAACTTTCGTGAGTGTCTTGTGCTGCTGCGGCCACGCGGGGCTCCTTGAGGACGTGTGGAGCTGCTTCGTGGGGATGATCGGGGATCACGGCGTAGTTCCCGGGGTGGATCACTATGCTTGCGTGGTTGATCTGCTGGGGCGGGCCGGGAGGCTGGCGGAGGCCGAGGATCTCATGGCCAGCATGCCTTTCGAGCCGGATTTTGCTGCTTGGACGAGCTTTCTCGATAGCTGCAAGAGTGCCGGGGCTCGAACCAGGAGTTTTGCGGCTGCAAATGCTCTGGTGGTCGATCCCAGCAGCTCCGGGCCGTATGTATTGTTGTCAAACATGCACAAACATTCTTAATCCTTCCCAAGTATTGAAATATTGCGCTCCATATAAAATTTAGCATATGAGGGTTCGCTGTACAAGGATCAGTTAGAGGAAGAGTATCAGACTCTGGGATTCAACTTGCCCAATGGATCTGAGACCATCTGAAGTATCATGGAGCAAGACATGAAACAATTGGGTTCGGATCAGGTGTTGACTACTTTCCCGCCTCGGCTCCCTGTTTGAGAAATCCGCTACAGAGTGACTTTACTACCTTACACTTTAGTGAACGGCCGTCCACCGGTTTGAGTGCCATTCGAATCCCGCAATGTGTTCAAGTTGTTCTGCGCCATGGACTGGAGTCTGATCTCGCGAAGAAGGTCTGCAGATGGGATCTCCAGGAAGCTGTAACGAAGCAAGATGTATTATATTATATTCTTAAAGTCGAGTACTTAAATATTGCTATCGACATAAAATTTACTTAAAATTCTTTCTAGAAATCATCAATGCTGATTTGTATATATAATGCGTCAGACTTTTTTATTACTTACTGGATCATGTGTGCTGATGTTACCGTGTACTGAGAATAACATTCTACGGATTTTCTCTCTTGTCTTCCTCTGCTAGAAGGACAATTGTACGCATGCATACTCTAAATTTGTATATAAGGCCTAGCAATCCATTAGGCCCATATATGAAAGTTTTAGTGCTCTTTGTGTTTGTAATTGCCACTTTCCACATTTGCATTGTCGTCTTCTTCTTCAAGTAGAAGGAAGCTCTCAAGTTTGGAAGGAGGCAACGTCAAGGTGGATGGGGATTCAGTAGCCGTAGAACCAGCCTTTGGCAGTATCAACATTATTATCAATTTCTTCTGCAAGAAGCACGAGGCTAAAGATCATGATCACAAGGACAAGGATTATGGACACGAGGAATTATGTTATGTAATGTCAGGATGGCCGAGCGGTCTAAGGCGGCAGACTCAAGTTCTGCTCCTCTAGCGAGGGCGTGGGTTCAAATCCCACTCCTGACAAAAAGCTTTTTTTCTTCCGTCTTCACAAAGATGGTAGAGCCAATGTGCGAGTTCCAGTCGCGACATAGAGATGGATCAGATCGTGGTGCTCGTTTTTCCGGTGGTGATCGCATAGACGTGATGATCGAGTTCTAGCCGTCTTGAGCTAAACCAGCTTCCACTATAGAATGAAGTAGTTTGTGCTTCTTTTCCCACATCCCCACGCTCGCATAGATGTTTCCCATCAAGACGTGAGCCGCGGAGTGCCTCTGGTCGAGCTCCAGCAGCGATCCAAACGCGAGCTCCGCGATGCAAACGTTCTTCCACTTCTTGCACGAGCTCAGCAGCGTCATCCAAGTCACTGCCGTTGGCTGGAGCCGCATCGATCTCACCACCTCTACAGCCTCCTCCAATCGGTTAGCTCGCCCAAGCAAATCGATCATGCCGTGGTAGTGTTCCAGCTCGGCCTCCACGCGGTACTTGGAAACCATGAGCCGGAAGTAGTCGGTTCCCTGGCGGACTAGCCCGGCATGGCTGCAAGCCGCGAGCACATACGTGAAAGTGATCCCGTCCGGCTTCACTCCGCTCTCCTGGATCGCGTGAAGGAGATCAAAGACACGATTTGCGTCTCCCAGCCGGCTGTATCCTCCCATCAGCGTCGTCCAAGTCTCGATGCTTTTGCATGCCGGGATGGAGTCGAAGAGGTGCTGAGCCTCCAGCATCAATCCGGACTTCCCATACAGGTCCACCAGAGCGTTCGTGATCTCGGCATTGCTCTCGAATCCACGCCTGAGAACCAAGGCATGGACTTCTCTGCCGCCTTCCACCGCTGCAACGTCGCTGCAGGCCTTGAGCACGGCACCCAGGAGCTGGGAGTCCGGTTGACAGCCTCGGGATCGCATCTCTGCAAACGCTTCCAGAGCCGCTTCACTGTCCAAGTTTTGGACGTAGCCGAGGACCAAAGCCGTCCAAGCAACCACGCTGTCCTCAGTGCTGGCACAGACTCTGTGCGCATCGAACATGCTCCCACACTTCGAGTACGAATCCACCAGCGTGCTTGCAACGTAAGCGTCGAGGCCGAATCCTGTGGCTGTAGCTTGGGAGTGTACCGCCCTGGTTCGTTTCAAAGACTGGACTTTGAGAAGCCTTCCATCTTCGCGCCTGCTTTCTTCCTTCGCTGCCTGGCCACTGCATGCCTTGAGTGCCGCAATGTAAGTCTGCGTCACTGGTAAACAGCCCTCCAGTTGCATCCGATAGAATTCCTGGATAGCCACCTCGCACTGTCCCTTCTGAGCATATCCGGCTATCATCGACGTCCAGGAGACCGCACCGGGACTGTGCAGCTTGTCGAAGACGTGCCGAGCATTGTCCATGCTGCCACACCTTGTGTACAAGTCGACCAGCGCGGCTCCCACAAACGCATCGGACTCACAGCCAGCTTTCGCAGCTTGAGAGCCGATAAACGAGCCTTTCTCCAGAGATAAAGCCTTTGAAGACTGCTCGTTTTTCGTTGCGAGGAGAACACACGCCTTGAGTGCCGCAACGAAGCATTGGGAATCCGGTACACACGTCTCAAGCATCTGCTCGTACAGATGAAGAGCTAACTCCGGCTGACCGTTCTGAGTGTATCCCAGTATCAAAGTCGTCCACACCACCACGTCGCGCTGCTGTAAACGGTCGAAAGTACGCCGAGCCTCCCTCATCTCCCCGCATTTCGCGTACATGTCGATGAGACTGCTTGCCACCAGCTTGTCTGAGACGAGTCCATTCTTCTCGGCTCCCGAGTGAATCTCAATGCCTTTCGCCAAAGCCACCACCTTCAAGTCGCCCTGCTTCGCTTCTTCTCTTGCTATCACGTTTGTGCAGGCTCTGAGTGCAGCCAAATACGTCTGAGCGTTTGGATGTATGCCAGTTGACTTCATCCGCTCGAATAGCTGGAAAGCCGCTTCTTCCTCACCATCCCGAGCATATCCCAGCAGCATTGTGTTCCATGACGCGACGTCATGGTTCTGAGTACTCTCGAAGACTTTCCGAGCATCCTCCACGCTTCCACACTGAAAGTACATCTCGATTAAGCAGCTCCGCACGGCTACCTCGGAGTCCAATCGCAACTTTGTTGCGTGTGAGTGAATAGCTCTTCCTGTTTCCAGCGTTTCCTGCTTGGAGTCTTTGTTCACTGCCATACCAGAGCACGCCTTTAGCGCGACCACAAAAGAACGAGCATTCGGTACACACCTTGTTGTCATCATGCACGAGAAGAGTTCCAAGGCCACTTCAAACTCCTCATGTTGTGAATAACCCCAGACCAGTGACGTCCACGACACCACATCGTGATATCGCATCTGGTCAAAAACGCCTCGAGAGTCCCACAAGCTCCCACATCTTGCATACGTATCCACCAACATATTCGCCACCACCATATCAACGCAGCCTCTCTTGGCAGCTTCGCAATGAACACCCATCCCTTGCCGCAAAGCAGCAAGCTTCATGACCCTTCCTTCGACTTGACTGCCAACTTCTTTGCTAGCTACGCTGGAGCAGGCCTTGAGAACTGCAGCGTAAGTATGGCCACTCGGTTCACACCTGCTTGCCTTCATCCGCGAGAACAACCCCAGAGCTATCTCGGCTTCCCCGCTGTCAACATACCCAGACAACAGCGCTGTCCATAGAAACACGTCCTGTGGAGAAGACTTATCAAAGACCTTGCGAGCATCCTCCATGCTCCCACATTTGGCATACATATTGATGAGCGAGCTAGCCACGAACGTGTTCAACTCCTCTCCTGTCCCAGCGGCTTCTGCATGGATTATCTTCCCTCTTTCCAAATCCCTTGCTCTAGTAGACTCTTTAAGCCCAGCCAGCAACTTGGATATCTTTGCTCTTGGGTCTTTCAGAGAACCAAACCTCCGGCAGTGCATCCCAGCATGGGCTTCGATCAGAAGCCGAGAACTGCCATTACCCTAGACCCTGTAGCGCCGCTTGTTTCCTACCCGTCTGCAGTCCAGCTGAATGCTAGCAGCACCAAGCCCAAAGTAGACACTAGAATGCTGCCTCCAAACACCCAAAGTACTCGCTGTGAAGGCTCGGACTTCTTCGGCTGGCTTGATTCCTTTCCCTGCCTGAGCGACTGAAGCTGCTCAACTAGAACCCGGATCTTGTCCAGGTCTGCATCCTTGGCGGCCTTGGCCAGTCCGTCCTCGATCTGCGTCAGTTCCAGATCCACTCCACGAGACCAATGCCTGTCTACAGCTGACCAGATGAAACCAGTTGTCCTCCAGAGTAGAATCCCCACATAGATGCCAGACACGACATCCACACTGTAGTGATGCCGCTCTCGTATCTCTCGCTGCGACGAGTGTGCGACGAGAAGCCAGATGAAAACCGAAGACCATCCCGGGTAGGCTTCCTGAGAGGGTAGTCACTTGAGAACGAGAAAACATGAAAAAGAAAAATTGATCCTTGTACTTACAGTCCATGCCATGGCAGTGAGCACTGAAACGAGAATGTGGCCGCTGAAAACGAGATCATTGCAGCCTCCTCCAGCTCTCTTCAAAGTGTTGAACCACGATTCCTCTTTGAAGTTGGCGGCATTTGGATCAACCGGCCTGAGAAAGTTGGCTAGGAATTGCATTCGTCCCCAGTTTGGAACGTACTCAGCTGGGTACTCAGCTGCTTGATCTGCGAAAACAAATACGCCATTAAGACGGAAACAAGGAACACTCTTCTCCTACCGTAGGCCGAGTCTTCACGTAGGAGCCGAGCGATCGCGCTTGGATCAGAAGAGTAAGGAACATAGTATTTCTGTGCCCAAGGATGAGGATGGTCGGGGACTCTAAATCTTGCTCTAGCACACCAGGGCCTCGCAGAAGGGAGTATAGTCCCGAGAAACGTGACCACCCTGAGAAGCCTTCCCACACCCATTGTGAAAAGATATCTGGCACCCAGCGCGAGCCCCGGAGCTCTAACGCATCCAAAGAGCACGGAGAATCCCAGCATTATAAAGAGCATGAGGTAATGGTGCAAACCTATGATCGGTGCTCGCAGAACCTCGACGAGAAATCCCGGGAGGCGCTCGTTGAGAGCCAGTAAGAGCCACTGCCCCATATCCGGTAGAGGTTTCGCGGATCTGGCAAAACGCATAGCCATCAGACCACAAATATTTCGCTTCTGCCTATAGTTTCTTACCCGTGCCAATCCAGCCCGAGGACGCTCGTCACGAACTGGACAGAGATCGCCTCGACGACGAGGCAGGAGAGCATGAAAACAAGGCAGGCGACGAAGAGAAGCGCGCTCCGTATCTCCGCGGGCCAGTGAGGGTACCACGGAGCTCGCGATGCAGCTCCAAGCGCGAGCGATCCCCAGAGAATCGGCCGCAGCGCGTCGTGCAGCCCCGGCGCCACGACACGGAGATAATCCACGAGAATGTAGGCGACAGCCGCCAGCCCCAATTCCCCGCCCCTCGCGAGCGCGATAGGCGCCTTCATCGTGGAATAAACCTCTGTGATTAGGGCTCTTACGCTGGGGGCGTAGGGATTCGAACCCTGGACTAGTAGCGCTGACTTTGTTGACTAAATGGTTTAAACGACGTGGCGCCGTAACTTGACTTGACGGGAGAGTTGCCAAAGTCCATAGAGGCGGCTCAAAGTTTCTTTAAATACTCCAATTCCCATTGTGAAACTCCTCTGTGTAGCAAAAGATGAAGGCTTCACATTTGGCAAGTCTTGTTGCTGCAACATGTTTCCTGTTGCTTCTCCTTGTTGGCAACAATCAGGCATCGGCTCAGCGCTGCATCGATTCGCTTCCAATTCCTTGTCGTAGAGGCGGGAATATCTGTGCCTGTTGCCCTGCGCTCAGACCCAAGGCGGACTACTGTCCTCGCCTCCAAAGCACGGTCGAGGAATTACAAGGGACTTGCTCTAGAATCCGCTGTGCTTCACCCTAGGTAATTGGGATCTCTCTCGTGTAATCCTGTAGTAACTACTATCTGTATGATTCGAATAAGGAATCTCGTTCAATGTGTTTGACACCTTGTTTTTGGGGTTGAAACTCTCTCCTTAATCTGTTTAGTGACATAAAAATGCACCTGTTGTCTCAAATTTTTTTAACTCTGCCACACAATTTTCAACAGTTGAGTTGAGTTTTTGAGGTTGGAACAGATGATGGCACCGCCCTGAAACTAGCCACGTTACTGAGGCCACCTCATGCGTACCTTTTGTTGAGGATAATATCTAGATTCTAGTCATTCGACTTTAACTTGTCAGTCTTAAATACACAACCGAGCAAAGCCAATGTAGCTCCGGATCTGTTCTTCAACACAACGGTTGGCGGGATGGTGGGTTCAGTGCTGCTTCGAGCTCACCCCACGCCCTCAAAATAATTTCTTTTTGCGTGAGCTGGCTAGTAATCTCTTCCCAGTTTCGTACTTTATGTCGAATAATTTGTTTGTGACATGGAATTGACGGTTCCACCGATTCAAAGTCAAAGAAACTTGTCAGAAGTGGGATTTGAACCCACCCCTCGTCAGAGGAGCAGAACTTGAGTTTGCCGCCTGACATTACACAAATATAATTACTCTACAAACATCTATGTTTCTAAGTATTGGTCTGTGATATAACTTTTGTGCTGAAGAGAGCTTCTTTGGCTTGGTATGGGCTTCTGTGCCATGTCTGATTAGGGAACTCCCAGCTGTAAGATCCCTGTGAGACAAGAAAGAGCCGTTATTCTGGGCCATGTTTAATTTTAAGGATGGTTTGATATTTGATTAAAAAGATATTTAATAGGAAAACTATTGTTCTTTGGCCATAACCCAGTTTGTCGTGATGGCTCTTGGCTATGCCCTAAATGAAGAAGAATAGGTAAATTTTGATAGATTTGGCTGAAAAATAGTGAAGAAATCCAGATGGGTTTGTCATTAATAGACTTCTAAATTTGGCTGAGATTGTCATTTTTTTGCGCCTGTCAAAGAACCCTTCCATTCTTCAGGGGAATCCAGAATCTGCAAGATGTGCCTTCGTTTTGGTTTCTTCAGGGCTGCATTTCTGAGGTAGTTGTCTTTCAATTGCTTCACTTTAGTTAGCATTTTCTTTTTGATTGCCTCCCCTTTCTTCTCTTCAGGTAAATGCTTTTTTTCTTGTCACTTCATCTTCTTTTTCTTGTGCACAGCAAAAATTTTCAACCTTTTTCTCTTCTATAATACAAGCTTTCTCAACCACTTTCACCTTCTTCTCTTCTACCTTGCATCCTTTCTCCTAAATACATGCTTTCTGGTCTTCCAATCTTGTTAGCATCTATATAATAGAAAATATAAAGGCTATTTAAGCAAGGAATGTCTAAAATATCACTACAAGTAGCTAAAGTGCATTAACAACATTGTATTGATATTTGATAGTGAATATTTCTTCATAGACTTTTGACTTATTGAGAAGAAATTATTCTGTGGGTATGAAGTGTCCTCTCACAAGTAGCAAGTGACAAATGTTAAGTAAGTGTCTAATGACAAAACTCATCTTTAGCATTATTGCTTTAGACACATAAATCACAAAGTTTTGCAGTTGCAAAGCATATGGTGAAGGGTTTGGATCTCAAGGGTACAATCATGTAAAACTTTTGTAAGTCTTCTGCACCATTGAGGGTTGATGGATATTCTTAGCCATTTTGGTGCAAAGTACTTCATGGACTTTCATTAATGACTTTAGCCACAAAATTTGCATATTTTTCGTGTGGAAAGGATGAAATTATGGAAGCGTTGAAACATTATATTACTTTTTTTAAAATGAAGTTTAAATGAAAGATCAAAATATTATGAATCGATAGAGGAAATTTAAGATTTTTGCCATGAATATAAGATTTAATATCAAGTCACTGCATGGTACATACAACATCAAAATGGAGTTGTTAAACAAAAGAATTAAACATTAGTGAATGTGGCATATAACCTCCTTTTTAATGTGAAGTTGAGTAAAGAATTTTGACAACAAACATTTGTTATAGTGATGCATGTCCAAAATTAATTACTTATTATTGTGTTTAAAGGTAGGTAGACTCTAAAGAAGTGTAGTCTGAAAGGAAGTCTAACATATTACATTTTATATGTTTAACTTTTACTTGCATCTTAAATTAGCTACATAAAAAGTTTGATCCTAAGAGCAAAAAGTTTTTAGTTGTAAAGGATATAAACTTTAGGATCTAGCTATTATAACCACATTTATTAGCATCTTTGTAAAATATAATTTTATAAATGATAAGGCAATGAAATTAAAGTTCATGAATATTGTGAATGAAGATCTTCTTGCTATCTTTTTAACTTGGTCTTAAATTATAAAGTGTCTTTTAGTTTGATTTATACTGAGATTGAGTGATATTCCAATAAATCCAATTTAAGAAACTTATAAAATGATAGGACTAAAATCATGATGTTAAATTAATGTAGCATATGTGATCATGGGATGAAATTTGAATATACTATCACTGTGGATTTTTAAAACTTTGTGGGATAAATAAGGATAAAATAAATATTAAAGACTCTCTTGTTAAAAAATTGCACATTTTTTATTGGCTTAAAGTGAAAGAGATAAGGCAATATATAATATTGGAGCAATTGATCATTATTCTTAAATAAAGTATATCTTTACCTTTAAAATTGAAATTATACATACTGAATATCCATGATTACATCCTTTGTTTTGTAAAGCTAAAATAATTAGTAAATTCAATGTGAAAATTGAAGTGTTAGTTTTCATTGGCTCAATAAATGTCAGTGTCCTCATTGACTATTCACTAATAACCTTTAAGAAGGAAATAGTGCATATGATCATGAAATAAAGATTTAAATATATTATCACCATAAATCTTTATAACTTTAGAAAATAAATAGGGTTAAAGTATTTATTAAAGGCTCTTTCATCAATTAATTACTCTTTTTAATAGGGATAACATGTGTTACAACTAAGGATCTAAAGAATGTTTTCATCAACAAACATGTATAACTCAATGAAGCATTAGTCACATGCCTAAAAGCCCTAAATGGATTCACAAGCTTTCCAATCTCAACTTCCACACCAAGCAAGTTAATAATTTTTTAAATTATTTTATTGGAGCACAAACCCCCACAGCTTAGGCCCATACATAAGATCTTATCATATTTGTTACACCAACATTTGTCAGAGCCGTCAAAGAGCTATGAAAGATTTGAAGGCAGTGCTAAACGATCCAATCCAGCTTGAGCAATGTAGAATGTCCAAAGATTCTAAGATGCCTTCTTGGGGCATTTGCAAGGCTCGCAAAGATCACAGACAAGAGTTGTACCACCCAGGAGAGTGTCTTTAGATCCAAGCACCCAAACATTGAGGTTGTGAGCCACTTGCCATTGCCAACGTACTTGACCCATTGTCACCACTCGGGAGATCAACAAGCACGCCAGAAGCTCCGTCTTGCATGGATCGCCAGGCGGAGCTTTGGTGGAGTCCTCCACTGGCAAGGATTAACAAGGAGACTGCAAAGGCGTGGGCGCGACGAGTAATTCTTCATCTCAAGTTCAAAATTTCTGAACGTTGGCTTCCACGGTGTTAGGCTCTTCAGGAAGGAAGACGAGGCGGCAGTCCTGTGGTTCAAGCCTCTAAGAGGACAATCTATTGCGCAAAATTGAATTTTGCTACTTCGTTGAATCCGAAAACCACCGGACTAGACTTAGAATAGCTGAGCAGAAGATTTTATGTTCTTAGGGTTCTTACGATAGCTTTGTTTATCCTAAATGATCATCCACCATGGAGCTGCTGGATGGTGGGCTTGCAAATTCATCCTTGGTACGCTTCGTTTCCCATAAGGATTGAATGGCTTTCTTAATTTCTCTGCGTTTCTAGTTTCTCTCTCCATGGAACGGCTCGCATACTACGGCATTGTAGCAAACATGGTGATTTACATGTCTAGCAAGCTTCACGTATCCAGAGCCAGTGCGGCAAACGCAGTCTCAAACTGGATGGGAACCTGTAATCTTACCCCTCTACTGGGTGGATTCCTTGCAGACTCTTACCTCGGCCAGTTTCGGACGATCAACGCCTTTTTCGGTATCTACTTGCCGGTAAGAAACACAGACACTCTAGACTCACCTTTGCCCAACCTTACACTCACAGGGTATGATCTTGCTAACCTTGTCAACTTTGCTACACCCTACATGCCATAGCACTGGATCACATACTTGCAGCAAAACAGTAAACCCGGCCTTGCTTTACACAGCGTTATACGTCATAGCCGTGGGATCCGGTGGACCAAGGTCTTGCATTTCATCATTCGGTGCTTTTCAACTGGAAGAGTCTGATGATCCAGCAAGCAACAAGGCCAGCTTCTTCAACTGGAGCTACTTCTTCACCAACATCGGAGGTCTGATTGCGGGAACAGCTCTGGTATATGTCCAGCAGGAAGTAAGCTGGCCGCTCGGGTTCGCCATCCCCACAGTGGCGGTCACGGCGTCCGCCATGATCTTTCTCATGGGCTGGCCGCGGTACAAGCACAAGCAACCGGGTGGGAGCCCGCTAACCAGGGTGGCACAAGTTTTCGTTGCCGCTGCCAGAAACAGAAGTGCAAGGATAGAAGTCGAGCATGCAAATGCAACCCTCTATGAGCTACAAGGGGAGAGTTCCAGCATTCCAGGAAGTCAGCAGATTCAGCACACTGCTGGATTTGGATTTCTCGACAAGGCGGCAGCCATCGCTCGCGATGAGCAAACAGCGTTTGGGAACTCACCACCGACGGGATGGAGGTTATGCACGGTAACGCAGATCGAGGAGGTGAAGATCATCCTGCGCTTGATGCCAGTGTGGGCGACGAGCATCATCTTCTCCACCGTTTTCATTCAGACCTCGACGCTGTTCGTGCAGCAGGGGCAAGAAATGCGCAACCGCATATCCGGCTTCAAAGTCCCCCCGGCATCGCTCGCAGCATTTGACACCATCGCCGTCATTCTCACAGTGCCGCTCTACGAGAGGCTTCTCGTCCCAGTTCTTCGCAGGTTGGCCGGTCAACAGAGTGGGTTGACCGGCTTGCAAAGGATGGGCCTGGGGCTTTTACTGGCGATGGTGGCCATGGTTGTGGCGGGGGTGGTGGAAACGCACGCAATGGTTCACCAGGTGAGTATACTCTGGCAGGTGCCACAGTATTTTCTAGTGGGCACCGCTGGAGTGTTTGCGTTTGCCGGGAGGACCGAGTTCTTCAACGAGGAGTCCCCCGAGGCAATGCGGAGTTTGATCGGTGCGCTGTCGCTCGCTACAAATGCTTTAGGGAGTTATCTCAGTAGTGTTCTTGTTGCTGCGGTGGAGAAGATCACGAGCAAGGGTGGCGGACGCGGGAGCTGGATCGATCACCATATGGACTACTTCTTCTGGCTCTTGGCGGCGCTCGTCGCCACTGATCTTGGCTTGTTTCTTGTGTGTGTCCGCTGCTACAGATTCCGGGCTATGGCGAAATGAATAAACCATAGCATAAGAACCCTAATTCGCGGGAAATTGCCGGGATCATCCAAAATCCCGGGAGAAGCGGCGTTCTCACTCAGTCCGACGATGGCGATGAGAGGAGCTACATCGACGGCGGTCCTAGGCGCTCCAACATATCTTACATCGCTGCCTCGTATGTGAAACTCGTAGAGGCCGGGGTGCTCGCGCCGTTCTTTTGCTTTACCAGTTTCTTTGCGCTTATTTGTTTGCACAGAAATTCTCGCTGATCAGTGGCATCTTGTTCGCTGGTGGGAGCGCAAGCTTGCAAGATGGTCCTAAGTACCGGCGAGTTTCTCTATGTTCTTCCCTCTTGCTTTAGTGTTGGAATGCTTCTTGTTCGTTCTTCGTTTCGTCCATTGTTTTTAGTCTTTGATTGTTTATTTTGATCTTGTAGAGGGCACTGAAAGCAAATGATATGCTTGGGACGTGCTTGGGTCTGGAACTTCTGTGATCGTCAGGGGCAACCATTCCATCCTCGGACTATTACAACGCACTGGAAGCTGCTGGAGAGCTAAACTTCGTGGGCGACAGGGCCAAAGAGCGCAGCATGTTCTGGTAACGAGTCAGTTCTTTGTATGTGTTTGTGAAAGAGGTTTCCTAAGGGCATTCTGGATAAGGTGGAGCACGAGAAGCTTGCAGAATCACATTGTAAGGTTTAGTTTGTGTTTTCTTCTTTGACTTGGATTGCAGAAAGGTCTATCTCCACAGACTTGGACAGATAGAGCCTTAGAGATTTCTTCGACGTGCTAACTACGACTCATGGGAAGGTACTTCTCCCAAATCTCTTGAGCCATCAGTTTCTTTGGAATTTCAGATATATATTTCGGCCATTGAAGGACGCAAGTAACCAATAACTGGTGTGCAATGGCAAAAGCTTTTCTCGCTTTTCATCTCTTTGTTTTTATAGTCTCTCGATTTTGCAGAAGAATGCATTCGAATGGGAATACGACGGAATACCACTCTCTGGATGCCATTCGAATTACACAGAGCACCCAGCTTCTTCGTCAGGTTAGTCCCTTCATCTTCATGGAAACAGTCGACTGTTTGTCTGAGTAGCGAGGCTCTGAAGTCAAGCCACTTGGGAAGAATCCGTTGTCGTCTAACCCAGACGACCCGACTGCGCCACAATAGACCATGCACCCGTCGACTTCATGTTTCTCCACTGGCCGTGAAAAAAAGAAATTTCATGGTCAAATATGATACCGTTGCCGGACGCAGAGGGGAGACACGGCACGGAGGAGGAGACCGCAGCTGCGTTTACTACAGAGTTAGGCCCGCACGGAGGAGACCAGCTACTTATACAACAGGGCTAGGCCCGCACGTGGAAGAATTTCGTTAGCTAATTTCATGAGAAAGTAACATGTTTAGTTTTTGTATTAGCCTCTAAAGGAATGTACATACACATTTCATTGACCAGATTGTTGGCAATTGCATGGTGGCGATGTGAAAATAGCGACAGAGTGGAGTTGATAAAATTTTCAGCCTTACCAACTCCAGTTTGATCTTGGAGCCTCAGAGTGAACGCGAAAAACGTGTAAACAACTTTTCAAAAAGGCCGAATTAATCCTTGTCGTGATCTGTGTGGAGCCCTGGTGGCTATGGACCACAACCAAACGCGTCGCCGCGCACAGCTGGCACGCAAAGCTTTGCATTTCCACAAATTATATATATAGATATATATTAGGTTGTATGTACGTTTCTCTCATCAACAATGGCCAGTGTTGTGACCGTGTTGGGGTCTTGGACTGTCAAGCCCGAAACTCCGACTCCACAACCCCGGATTCACAAGCTCTCCAATCTCGACTTCCACATCTCCTTTGAGAATTACACCAAGCAAGTCTACTATTTCCCGCCATCTAGCAGGGATGATCTTGTCGCGAGCTTGAAAGCTTCGCTGTCCAGAGTGCTTGTCCCGTTTTATGTCTTGGCAGGACGAGTGCGCAAGGCGGAAGATGGTCACAAGCTGGAGGTGGATTGCAACGACGCTGGCGTCTCGTTTGTGGAGGCGAGTGCCCCCGACGCCAGCTTCAGCGATTGGAAAAACATGGCGTTTTGCTCCATCGAGCAGCATCTCAATCCTTCGGATGTGGCCATCACGGATCCAGACACTGCTCCGATCTTCAAAGTTCAGGCAGGTTTCTTGATATCGCAGTTAATTCTTCAATATTTCATGGAATTCCTGAATCTAGGTGACGAAGTTCAAGTGTGGTGGGATCGCATTGGGGATCTTAACGGCCGAAGTGATCCTGGATGGATCGTCATTCTTTGCGTTTGTGAATTCTTGGTCCGAAATCCACCGAGGCCTGCCGCTTTCGAGGCCTCCGGTTTTTGCCTCTAACATTTTCCAGGCCAGACAGCCCCCAGCGATCATTCTGCCAGTCCGCGACTACTACTCCTCTCCGATCTATAACACTCACTCGGCCAAAGCAACCGACGTAACGTGCGAGTACGTCGTGAAGATGTTTGAGATGGATCCTGACCAAGTCGACGATCTTATCCGAGACGTTCACAGTGGTCCGTACAGCTATGGCCGCCCTCCAACCTCGTTCGAGGCAACGAGCGCCATGATCTGGAAAGCCACCACCGAGGCCAGAGATCTCCAAGACTCGATCATCACAAGCTACGTCTATGCAATCTCTCTCAAGGGCAAGAACCGCTGGAACCCCCCAGTCCCAGCCTCGTACATTGGCAACAGCATCCACTCGCCATGCCTCACTGCCAAGGCCGGGGACATCAAATCCCGCCATCTCTCCTACGCTGCGAGGCTCTTCCACGAGGATATCCTAAGCACCACTCAAGAACACATGCAATCCGCCATCGATTGGATGGAGATGGAGCTGGGCAGAGGAAGGAAGATCAATCTAAATGGTGATTTTGTGTCGGGGACTGGGATCTACAGCACGAGCTTGCACAGTTTCCCTGTGTACAGCGTTGATTTTGGATGGGGAAAGACTGTACACTACTCTCTGGTAATGCAGCCGCCGTGGTATGGGAACGGTGTCACGGTGATTCTCCCCAGCCCGAGAGGAGGAAGGCACCGGCGGCTGCTCATCTCGCTACCTGCAATCCATATGAAGAAGCTCGTGAACCATGAATTCTTCCGCAAGTATACTACTCTCGGATCGTAAGAATGATCTATTCATATCTATGGGGTGTTGGTAATTTTTTTCTTGAACTAAGGATTTGTTTTGATAAGTAATCTTATTTTAAACACAAGGATTAAATCCTTAAAAATGTAAAAGTCTATATTTCTGATTCACCGTCCACGAGGACATTGCCCACCAGCTTTGGTTCATTGCATCTGGACCAAATGTATAGCAAATCTCTATAAAAGACAACAAATATTTATATGGAAGAATTTGGTGTCATCATCATCTAACTATGGTTGGGGTTAAAATGACGTTGATGTTTGATGTTTGATGGCGGGCACACTGGCTGGAAGGGAAGAAGCTCATTGGTGCTATGGGAGAAAACGAAATGGCAAATTGCAAATTGACACGTGGCTGCAGTTCATATCCATCGAATGGTGGCATCTATTCGATTGTGAGACAAGATTACGCGCAAGGAACATTTCTTCTTTCCCAGCGTTTTGGCCAGCCTCAAGTGGGCATTCTTATATGTAGTGACATACAGCGCTCTAATCACAAGGATATCGTTGGAGAATCACCAGGGTTTCTCTCGCGCCATGTTGACGAGCCAAAGCAATCATGCCCTTTCCAGAAAGAATTATGGCTCTTGGACTGTCTGACCTCTACTCTCTGGAACCATACACAGCCAAGAACATTTATAAAAAGCTATGCTTTGATTGTTTCATTCTTAACATTCAAGAGCTGGCTTGAGAAGCCGGTCTTACTTGATATGTCACGTACATTGCTATTTGGCCTATAAACACCTTTCCCAGAACCTTTGGATTATCCTAAGTTCTACCTCAGGCAGTTAGAGTCGTGTATCAGTTTGTTGGCAAGTTTGAGTGTTGTGAGAAGAGGATCTCGGGTGTCTTCCATGGGACAGCAGACACCCTAGGCTTCATTCCGTTCTGGTTTGAAGAAAATCTCACTGCATCGAGTCACAGGCAGCAATATCAGTCTCTTACCGGCTAGATCTCCTCGAGCTGCGATCGCGGCCACTGCTGCTGCGATCTAGCACTGCTGCTTGCAGCACAATGCCGCCGCCAGTGCGATCTTAGCAGTGCTGCGGAAGAAATGCACAATACAGCACCCCTCACTCTTACGTGGTTGCCTCCTCGCTTCCTCCGTGGCGCGCTTAGTCATTCCCAGCTCTACACCCTAAATGTTTAACGACTAACTCTAAATTAGTAACGTTAAATTTTAATTATATAATTTTATAATTAGCCAGTGAATGAACGGCTATAATTTATAAGTATATAACCTACGATTGGTTTAGGTCTTTCCTCATTGTGTTTTATGTTTGTGCTCCTTATATTTTCTTTCTTATTTTATTCATTCTCTTTAGTATTATGGCTAGATTGGAATATGTAAATCATGCTTAAGATAGTATTCTTTCTTTTTCTAATATTATTGAGAGAACTAATAGTAAGGTAAATTCTTTTAGTTTTTGTATTACGGTTGGTCTTCTCCCACAAGAGAGAGAATGTGAAAGATGTCATTGACCAATGAGATATCGATATGATAATCAAGGTTGTAAAGATGGTTTAAAGTGGAATTGTAAAAATTGCAATATCACAAAATTTCTTAGAACTAATACATGGTTTGCAAATAGTAATCTCATATTTACTCAAATGCTTAGAGTGATGTATTGTTGGTGCATTAAAATGCCACAAGATTAAACTCATATTGAGTGTAGTATTAAAAGTGAGCACACGATAACAAATTGGTACAACTTTTGTCGTGATATTTGCATTATCACATTACAATGAGGTAATCAAAAGATTGGTGGTCCAGGAAGTATTGTGGAAATTGATGAAAGTAAGTTTGGTAAGCAGAAATATAATTGTGGTAGAAGAGTAGAAGGTTAATGAGTCTTTGGAGGAATTGAACGTGATTCAGATCGAATGTTTATGGTTCCGGTAGCCAATCGTACTACACAAACTTTAACTGATATATTATATACATATGTTGAACTAGGTAAGTTTTATTTCTATTATTATTCTTAACTAATAATTTTTAATCCCACTAGTTTTAATCCCACTAGGATCGTCAGTGGCAACCATTCCATCCTCGAGTATTACAACGCACACAAAGCTGCTGGAGAGCTAAACTTCGTGGGCGACTGGGCCAAAGAGTGCAGCATGTTTACCTGGTAACAAGTCAGTTCTTTGTATGTGCTTGTGAAATGTTCTTTGTCCAGGTTTCCTAAGGACATTCTGGATAAGGTGGAGCACGATAAGCTTGCAATGCAGAATCACATTGTAAGGTTCTCAGCACTTACTTTGTGTTTTCTTCTTCTCATTTCTTTGGCTTGGATTGCAGAAAGGTCTATCTCCACAGACTTGGAGAGACACACAGAGCCTTAGAGATTTCTTCGACGTGCTAACTACGACTCCTGACCTGAATGGGAAGGTAATTCTCGGTGCCAAATCTCTTGAGCCATCAGTTCCTTTGGATTTTCAGATATATATTTCGACGATTGAAGGACCCAAGTATCCAGTAACTGGTGTGCAATGGCATCCCGAGGTAGAGCTTTTCTCGTTTTTCACCTCTTTGTTTTGATATTCTCTCGATTTTACAGAAGAATGCTTTCGAATGGGGATATGAAGGAATAGCTCACTCTCCGGATGCCGTTCATATTACACAGAGCGCTGCCAGCTTCTTCGTCGGGCAATTCTCTTCACCTTCTCATTAAACAGGATAAACTCTGGACTGTTTGTCTGAGTAGCGAGGCTCTGAAGTCAAGCCACACAGCTTCTTGGGAAGAAGAAGAGCAGCTATTGATCTACAACTATTCGCCAATCTATTCCGGCCGAGACGGGTACTTACTCCCATCAAAATCTAAAATCGCTCAGAGCCTCTTTGTACTGTGCTTGTAGGAAGGGACACTTCGATCAATCTTACGTCTTCTGGTGAAGCAATCTGATAATAAAACTACTGTTATTTTAGCTGAGGTCTCTAATCCGTCGTCGTCTATTCCGGTCAGGATGCCTGGCTTTCATCCAGGCGACCCTGGTTCAAATGCCGCCAACGGAATTGTATTTGATCCTCCCCACGTCACAGGAAAGGATGTGCACACTTTTCACAAGGGCAGAATAATCTCAACTGGCTGCCCACTTGCAGGCAGGGAGGACGAGAACGATATTGCAAGTTGTAAGTAATCTGCCCTGGTACGATGCTGAGAGGAGTTATTAGAGGTGATGGTTGTGGTACACGGGAAACAGCTTTCAGTTCTTCCATCTGATGCTTTTCCAGAGCTACAGCTCTCGCTGTGGAACCCATAGCTTTGTGAGTTCGCATCTAATTTCTATTGTTTAAACTCTATATTCGCTGGTCATCGCACCATTGGCAACTGTCCGATCGAGTTTAGTTCTTGGTAACAATCTTATTGATAAACCCACGTGGCTAACGTGGTCTGTACAGTTCTGAAGAAACCTGTATACTACTTACATCGGACAAAAGAGTCCTCCAGATTGTACTAGTTCAGTACGGGCTTGCCCTTAACCTCTTCATTAGGCCATTTGTTTCTTTCGCGTGGGCCTTGGACTACGAAAGAGAATGCTCTTCTTTGTTTTGGAAGAATGCATGTAGGAAAAGCTGGATTGGCTCTTTAGCTCTGTCAGTATAATCCCGTATCATTTTTTACTTTAAACCCCTATTTTAAATGATTAATATAACTAATGAAAATGCAACCATAAATATAAATACCTTTACTCGTTATATATATATAAACAAACATGAAATCTTATAGGTAATATATATATTAAGTTTGTGTATGTTCCTATATGGCTAGGGTGTTGGGTCTTGGACTGTCAAGCCCGAAACTCTGACTCCACAGCCCTGGATTCACAAGCTCTCCAATCTCGACTTCCACATCTCCTTTGAGAATTACACCAAGCAAGTCTACTATTTCCCGCCATCTAGCAGGGATGATCTTGTCGCGAGCTTGAGAGCTTCGCTGTCCAGAGTGCTTGTCCCGTTTTATGTCTTGGCAGGGCGGGTGCGCAGGGCGGAAGATGGTCACAAGCTGGAGGTGGATTGCAACGACGGTGGCATCTCGTTTGTGGAGGCCCCCGATGCCAGCTTCAGCGATTGGAAAAACATGGCGTTTTGCTCCATCGAGCAGCATCTCAATCCTTCGGAAGTGGCCATCACGGATCCAGACACTGCTCCGATCTTCAAAGTTCAGGCAGGTTTCTTGATATCGCATTTAATTCTTCAATATTTCATGGAATTCCTGAATCTAGGTGACGAAGTTCAAGTGTGGTGGGATCGCATTAGGGATCTTAACGGCCGAAGTGGTGCTGGATGGATCCTCATTCTTTGCGTTTGTGAATTCTTGGTCCGAAATCCACCGAGGCCTGCCGCTTTCGAGGCCTCCGGTTTTTGCCTCTAACATTTTCCAGGCCAGGCAGCCCCCATTCTGCCAGTCCGCGACTACTACTCCTCTCCGATCTATAACACTCACTCGGCCAAAGCAACCGACGTAACGTGCGAGTACGTAGTGAAGATGTTTGAGATGGATCCTGACCAAGTCGACGATCTTATCCGAGACGTTCACAGTGGTCCGTACAGCTATGGCCGCCCTCCAACCTCGTTCGAGGCAACGAGCGCCATGATGTGGAAAGCCATCACCGAGGCCAGAGATCTCCAAGACTCGATCATCACAAGCTACGTCTATGCGATCTCTCTCAAGGGCAAGAACCGCTGGAACCCCCCAGTCCCAGCCTCGTACATTGGCAACAGCATCCACTCGCCATGCCTCACTGCCAAGGCCAAATCCCGCCATCTCTCCTATGCTGCGAGGTTGTTCCAGGAGGATATCCTAAGCACCATTCAAGAACACATGCAATCCGCCATCGATTGGATGGAGATGGAGCTGGGCAGAGGACGGAAGATCAATCTAAATGGTGATTTTGTGTCGGTGACTGGGATCTACAGCACGAGCTTGCACAGTTTCCCTGTGTACAGCGTTGATTTTGGATGGGGAAAGACTGTACACTACTCTCTGGTAATGCAGTCGTGGTATGGGAACGGTGTCACGGTGATTCTCCCCAGCCCGAGAGGAGGAAGGCACCGGCGGCTGCTCATCTCGCTACCTGCAATCCATATGAAGAAGCTCGTGAACCATGAATTCTTCCGCAACTATACTACTCTGGGATCGTAGGAATATTCACTGGTTCATACATAGTTTGAGAATTTGTATTTATTTATTTGTAACTTTTAGAGATTTCTATACATTTTCAGCAATGAACCAATCAACTGTCAGATCTCAGGCCCAGAGTGAAGTCTTTTGCTCTTGGCCAATAGAAGGCCTGCAGACCATTTTGCTAGAGAAGAACAAATTGCAACATGGATCTTGGGGGTAACTGGGTAAATATGTTTTTTACTCTGATGAGTTGGGGGGGAACATGCAGCTCAAGGGCAATTGGGCTTGAGTTATATTGGCCAAAAATGTAATTGACACATTTTTTTATGTTTGCGAATCTCAATAACTTTTGCAGTTTTTCTCATGCTCAAGTTTTTGCCTTGGAGACTACTTAGAAGATTATATCAGCACCAATTGTTATTTATGGTTGCCAGATGAAACCCTTATGAGATGAATTCTTAGGTACTACCAATTATTACTCTCTTCTTACCTCTCACAGAATTTACAATATATGTGCATTGGTAAGTTTATCTTTGTGTTAAATTGTGCTATGAGGGTTGCTCTTCTCTGAGCTGTGGCAACAAGGATGACAATGTGCATGTCTTGAACATGTCTATTATGTTGCATTACACAATGCACTCTCAGCTTTCCATTTTGCAATTTTTTTTGCATTTTGTTTCATTTGCATATAAGTTCTACAAACGTAATATTAGAAATTACAAAGTATTTGAGAAAAATAGGGGCAAAACGAGTTTCAACGAAGTAGAAAAATTCAATTTTGCGCAATAGATTTTGAACCACAGGACTGCCGCCTCGTCTTCCTTCCTGAAGAACCTAACACCGTGGAAGCCAATGATCAGAAATTTTCAAAAGGTTGAACTTGAGATGCAATCCACAATGAAGAACTTCCATTCACAGCAAGTTGATTTGGGTGAAAACCACCGGAGCTGAGCAGATGTTCTTAGGGTTCAGCTTTGTTTATCCTAAATGGCCGACAATGGAGCTGCTGGATGGTGGGCTTGCAAATTCATTATTGGTACACTTCGGTTCCCATAAGGATTGAATGGCTTTCTTAATTTCTCTGCGTTTCTAGTTTCTCTCTCCATGGAACGGCTCGCATACTACGCCATTGTAGCAAACATGGTGATCTACATGTCTAGCAAGCTTCACGTATCCAAAGCCAGTGCGGCAAACGCAGTCTCAAACTGGATGGGAACCTGTAATCTTAGCCCTCTACTGGGTGGATTCCTTGCAGACTCTTACCTCGGCCAGTTTCGGACGATCAACGCCTTTTTCGGCATCTACTTGCTGGTAAGAAAAAGAGACACTCTAGACTCACCTTTGCCCAACGTTACACTCACAGGGTATGATCTTGCTAACCTTGTCAACTTTGCTACACCCTACATGCCATAGCACTGGATCACATACTTGCAGCAAAACAGTAAACCCGGCCTTGCTTTACACAGCGTTATACGTCATAGCCGTGGGATCCGGTGGACCAAGGTCTTGCATTTCATCATTCGGTGCTTTTCAACTGGAAGAGTCTGATGATCCAGCAAGCAACAAGGCCAGCTTCTTCAACTGGAGCTACTTCACCAACATCGGAGGTCTGATTGCGGGAACAGCTCTGGTATATGTCCAGCAGGAAGTAAGCTGGCCGCTCGGGTTCGCCATCCCCACAGTGGCGGTCACGGCGTCCGCCATGATCTTTCTCATGGGCTGGCCGCGGTACAAGCACAAGCAACCGGGTGGGAGCCCGCTAACCAGGGTGGCACAAGTTTTCGTTGCCGCTGCCAGAAACAGAAGTGCAAGGATAGAAGTCGAGCATGCAAATGCAACCCTCTATGAGCTACAAGGGGAGAGTTCCAGCATTCCAGGAAGTCAGCAGATTCAGCACACTGCTGGATTTGGATTTCTCGACAAGGCGGCAGCCATCGCTCGCGATGAGCAAACAGCGTTTGGGAACTCACCACCGACGGGATGGAGGTTATGCACGGTAACGCAGATCGAGGAGGTGAAGATCATCCTGCACTTGATGCCAGTGTGGGGGACGAGCATCATCTTCTCCACCGTTTTCATCCAGACCTCGACGCTGTTCGTGCAGCAGGGGCAAGAAATGCGCAACCGCATATCCGGCTTCAAAGTCCCCCTGGCATCGCTCGCGGCATTTGACACCATCGCCGTCATTCTCACAGTGCCGCTCTACGAGAGGCTTCTCGTCCCAGTTCTTCACATGTTGACCGGTCAACAGAGTGGGTTGACCGGCTTGCAAAGGATGGGCCTGGGGCTTTTGGCCATGGTTGTGGCGGGGGTGGTGGAAACGCACGCAATGGTTCACCAGGTGAGTATACTCTGGCAGGTGCCACAGCATTTTCAAGTGGGCGCCGCTGGAGTGTTCGCGTTTGCTGGGAGGACCGAGTTCTTCAACAAGGAGTCCCCCGAGGCAATGCGGAGTTTGATCGGTGCACTGTCGCTTGCTACAAATGCTTTAGGGAGTTGTTCTTGTTGGTGCGGTGGAGAAGATCACGAGCAAGGGTGGCAGACGCGGGAGCTGGATCGATCACCATATGGACTACTTCTTCTGGCTCTTGGCAGCGCTCGTCGCCACTGATCTTGGCTTGTTTCTTGTGTGCGTCCGCTGCTCTAGCAATTGACACGGGGCTATGGCGAAATGAAAAAACCATAGCATAAGAACCCTAATTCGCGGGAAATTGCCGGGATCATCCAGCTGCCCGAAGAATCCCGGGAGAAGCGCCGCTGATTGGGATTCTCACTCAGCCTGACAATGGCGATGGGAGGAGCTACATCGACGGGCGGTCCTAGGCGCTCCAACATATCTTACATCGCTGCCTGGTATGTGAAATTCGTAGAGGCCGGGGTGCTCGCGCCGTTCCGCCTTGGGAGACGCTAGCAAAGGTAACTTCCAGTTTCTTTGCGCTTATTTTTTTGCACAGAAATTCTCGCTGATCAGTGGCATCTTGTTTGCTGGTGGGAGCGCAAGCTTGCAAGATGGTCCTAAGTACCGCGCCAGCGAGTTTCTCTTTGTTCTTCCCTCTTGCTTTAGCTTTGGAATGCTTCTTGTTCGTTCTTCGTCCAGGAGTATTCACTTTGGAACTAGAGTATTTGATTGTTTATTTTGATCTTGTAGAGGGCACTGGAAGCAAATGATAGGACGTGCTTGGGTCTGGAACTTCTAGCTGTGATCGTCAGTGGCAACCATTCCATCCTGAACGATTACAACGCATACCACGAAGCTGCTGGAGAGCTAAACTTCGTGGGCGACTGGGCCAAAGAGCTCAGCATGTTCTGGTAACGAGTCGGTTCTTTGTATGTGTTTGTGAAATGTTCTTTGTCCAGGTTTCCTAAGGGCATTCCGGATAAGGTGGAGCACGAGAAGCTTGCGGAATCACATTCTAAGGTTTAGTTTGTGTTTTCTTCTTTGGCTTGGATTGCAGAAAGGTCTTGTTGTATTATGAAACAGTGTTGTGTTATTGTTATGACGGTTAATACATGGTTAATTGTATGGGTTTATAGTGATGATCCATGGAAATGTAGGAAGCAGCTGCATTTAGGAATTTTAAGAGGATGTGGCAACTCTTGACGGTTAGTGAGGATATGTGATGTGGCTAGTGATGTGGACCTTGTGCTTCCCACACTCCTCAAGGTTTCCATTACCTAGCTTGAGTGTCTTTAGGAAGACTTGATGCTTTACACAAGGTAGAGCCTTGGTCAGGACATCCGCCAGCGTGTTGGTAGGACAAAATTCCAGAAGAATTTTGCCTTTGTCGATGAGTTCCCGGATGGAATGGAACCTCAGTTTGATGTGCTTTATCCAATAACTGGTGTGCAATGACAAAAGCTTTTCTCGCTTTTCATCTCTTTGTTTTTATATTCTCTCGATTTTGCAGAAGAATGCATTTGAAACGAAGGAATACCCCACTCTCCGGATGCCATTCGAATTACACAGAGCACTTCGTCAGGTTAGTCCCTTCATCTTCATGGAAACAGTCGACTCTGAGTAGTGAGGCTCTGAAGTCAAGCCACTTGGGAAGAATCCGTTGTCGTCTAACCCAGACTACCCGACTGCGCCACAATAGATCATGCATCCGTCGACGTCATGTTTCTCCACTGAAAAAATTTCATGATCAAATACGATACTATTGAACCCTTGCCCGGCCAGAGGGGAGATGTCGACTTAGACACGGCAGAGAGGGGCAGACCGCAGCTGCTTCTACATGGTTAGGCCCGCACGGAGGAGGCACAGTGAACGCGCAAAACGTGTACACAGTGTACACAAAAAGCTGACTTTGTCCTTGTCGTGATCTGTGTTCGTGGCTATGGACCACGTGCGTCGCCACGCATAGTTCGCACGCATTTTTTCAAGGCTTTGCATTTCCTGGAACCCACGAAAGATTTGGTGTTATATATATTTTAGGTTGTACGTATGTTCTCTCGTCAATAATGGCCAGTGTTGTGACCGTGTTGGGGTCTTGGACTGTCAAGCCAGAAACTCCGACTCCACAACCCCGGATTCACAAGCTCTCCAATCTCGACTTCCACATCTCCTTTGAGAATTACACCAAGCAAGTCTACTATTTCCCGCCATCTAGCAGGGATGATCTTGTCGCGAGCTTGAAAGCTTCGCTGTCCAGAGTGCTTGTCCCGTTTTATGTCTTGGCAGGACGAGTGCGCAAGGCGGAAGATGGTCACAAGCTGGAGGTGGATTGCAACGACGCTGGCGTCTCGTTTGTGGAGGCGAGTGCCCCCGATGCCAGCTTCAGCGATTGGAAAAACATGGCGCTTTGCTCCATCGAGCAGCATCTCAATCCTTCGGAAGTGGCCATCACGGATCCAGACACCGCTCCGATCTTCAAAGTTCAGGCAGGTTTCTTGATATCGCATTTAATTCTTCAATATTTCATGGAATTCCTGAATCTAGGTGACGAAGTTCAAGTGTGGTGGGATCGCATTAGGGATCTTAACTGCCGAAGTGGTGCTGGATGGATCCTCATTCTTTGCGTTTGTGAATGCTTGGTCCGAAATCCACCGAGGCCTGCCGCTTTCGAGGCCTCCGGTTTTTGCCTCTAACATTTTCCAGGCCAGACAGCCCCCAGCGATCATTCTGCCAGTCCGCGACTACTACTCCTCTCCGATCTATAACACTCACTCGGCCAAAGCAACCGACGTAACGTGCGAGTACGTAGTGAAGATTTTTGAGATGGATCCTGACCAAGTCGACGATCTTATCCGAGACGTTCACAGTGGTCCGTACAGCTATGGCCGCCCTCCAACCTCGTTCGAGGCAACGAGCGCCATGATCTGGAAAGCCATCACCGAGGCCAGAGATCTCCAAGACTCGATCATCACAAGCTACGTCTATGCGATCTCTCTCAAGGGCAAGAACCGCTGGAACCCCCCAGTCCCAGCCTCGTACATTGGCAACAGCATCCACTCGCCATGCCTCACTGCCAAGGCCGGGGACATCAAATCCCGCCATCTCTCCTACGCTGCGAGGCTCTTCCACGAGGATATCCTAAGCACCACTCAAGAACACATGCAATCCGCCATCGATTGGATGGAGATGGAGCTGGGCAGAGGAAGGAAGATCAATCTAAATGGTGATTTTGTGTCGGGGACTGGGATCTACAGCACGAGCTTGCACAGTTTCCCTGTGTACAGCGTTGATTTTGGATGGGGAAAGACTGTACACTACTCTCTGGTAATGCAGCCGCCGTGGTATGGGAACGGTGTCACGGTGATTCTCCCCAGCCCGAGAGGAGGAAGGCACCGGCGGCTGCTCATCTCGCTGCCTGCAATCCATATGAAGAAGCTTGTGAACCATGAATTCTTCCGCAAGTATACTACTCTGGAATGATCACTGGTTCATATGGGGTTTGAGAGTTGGTGTTGGTAATTTTTTCTTGAACGAAGGATTTTTAATAGAATAATCTTATTTTAAATACAAGGATTTAATCCTTAAAAATGTAAAAGTCTATATTTCCGATACATACCTCGAGGACATTGTGTTTTACTTGATGCCTACCAGCTTGGTTCATTGCATCTGGACCAAATGTATAGCAACTCTCTATAAAAGATTATATGGAAGAATTTGGTGCTCCTATGGTTGGGGTTAAAATTACGTTGATGTTTGGATGGCCAATTAAAAATGGGCACACTGGCTGGAATGGAAGAAGCTCATTGGTGCTATGGGGGAAACCAACTTGCAACACGTGGCTGCATTTCATATCCATTGAATCGTGGCATCTATTCGATTGTGAGACAAGATTACGCGCAAGGAACATTTCTTCTTTCCCAGCGTTTTGGCCAGCCTCAAGTGGGCATTCTTATATGTAGTGACATACAGCGCTCTAATCACAAGGATATCGTTGGAGAATCACCAGGGTTTCTCTCGCGCCATGTTGGCGAGCCAAAGCAATCATGCCCTTTCCAGAAAGAATTATGGCTCTTGGATTGTCTGACTCTACTCTGTGGAACCATACACAGCCAAGAACATTTATAAATAGCTATGTTTTGATTGTTTCATTTTTGCAAGTGCACATGCACATAGAGGTTGCATTTTGTTTAAACAAGCAGAAAAACATACATTCAAGAGCTGGCTTGAGAAGCCGGTCTTACTTGATAGGTCACGTACATTGCTATTTGGCCTACGTAGAGGTTGTTGTAGGGGGATTAACAACATCACAAATGGAAAGGGGGACAGAGAAGTCGCACATACCATGGTTACAAGTTGTACCTCGGATTTATCTGTGAGGCAATGGCTCTGCTCTGCTAGAAAGTCCGGAAGTTTCTTAAATCTAGACTGAAGTGACGACTATAAACACCTTTCCCAGAAACTTTGGATTATCCGAAGTTCTACTCCAGGCAGCTAGACTCGTGTATCAGTTTGTTGGCAAGTTTGAGTGCTGTGAGGATATCAGGGGCAATGGATGCTGGGGTGTCTTCCACGGGACAGCAGACACCCTAGGCTTCATTCCGTCCTGGTTTGAAGATCAGAAGCCAAAATCTCACTGCATCGAGTCACGCCAGCAATATCAGTCTCTTACCGGCTAGATCTCCTCGAGCTGCGATCGCGGCCGCTGCTGCTGCGATCTAGCACTGCTGCTTGCAGCACAATGCCGCCGCCAGTGCGATCTTAGCAGCGCCGCTCGCAGCAGAATGCTTCTCCACCGTTTTCATCCAGACCTCGACGCTGTTCGTGCAGTAGGGGCAAGAAATGCGCAACCGCATCTCCGGCTTCAAAGTGCCCCCGGCATCGCTCGCGGCATGTGACACCATCGCCGTCATTCTCACAGTGCCGCTTGACGAGAGGCTTCTCGTCCAAGTTCTTCGCATGTTGATCGGTCAACAGAGCGAGTTGACCTGCTTGCAAAGGGCCATGGTTGTGGCGGGGTTGGAAACGCACGCAAGGATTTAGGGAGTAGTGTTCTTGTTCTTGCGGTGGAGAAGATCACGAGCAAGGGTGGCGGATCGATCACCATATGAACTACTTCTTCTGGCTCTTGGCGGCGCTCGATCTTTGCTTGTTTCTTGTGTGTGTCCGCTGCTCTAGCAATTGACGCGGACGAGAATTTCCCGCGAATTAGGGCTCTTACGCTAGGGTCGCCATGGCAGGAGCCATTGTAGCGATCTTCCTCGCGCTCGCTGCGATCGCCGCCGCTAGGATCATCCAGCTACCCGAAGAATCCCGAGAGAAGCGGCCGCTGATAGGGATTCTCACTCAGCCCGGCGATGGCGATGACAGGAGCTACATCAACAGGCTGGAGCCCGGCGATCCCAGGCGCTCCAACATATCTTACATCGCTGCCTCGTATGTGAAATTCGTCGAGGCCGGGGGCGCTCGCGCCGTTCCTTTGCTTTACAACGAGCCTTGGGAGACGCTAGCGAAGGTAACTTCCATGAGCTAAATTTCTTTGCCCTTATTTGTTTGCTCAGAAATTCTCGCTGATCAATGGCATTTTGTTCGCTGGTGGGAGTGCAAGCTTGCAAGATGGTCCCTACTACCGCGCCAGCGAGTTCCTCTTCAAGGTTTGTGTTCTTCCCTCTTGCTTTAGCTTTGGAATGCTTCTTGTTCGTTCTTCGTCCATTGTTTTTTCCAGGAGTATTCATGCTAGTGACTTTGCAACTAGAGTCTTGATTGTTTAGTTTGATCTTGTAGAGGGCACTGGAAGCAAATGATAAGGGAGATTATTTTCCCGTGTTTGGGACGTGCTTGGGTCTGGAACTTCTAGCCGTGATCGTCAGTGGCAACCATTCCATCCTGGACGATTACAACGCACACAAAGCTGCTGGAGAGCTAAACTTCGTGGGCGACTGGGCCAAAGGGCGCAGCATGTTTACCTGGTAACGAGTCAGTTCTTTGTATGTGCTTGTGAAGTGTTCTTTGTCCAGGTTTCCTAAGGACATTCTGGATAAGGTGGAGCACGAGAAGCTTGCAATGCAGAATCACGTTGTAAGGTTCTCAGCACTTTGTGTTTTCTACTTCTCATTTCTTTGGCTTGGATTGCAGAAAGGTCTATCTCCACAGACTTGGAGAGACACACAGAGCCTTCGAGATTTCTTTGACGTGCTAACTACAACTCCTGACCTGAATGGAAAGGTAACATTTTCGGTGCCAAATCTCTTGAGCCATCAGTTCCTTTGGATTTTCAGATATATATTTCGACGATTGAAGGACGCAAGTATCCAGTAACTAGTGTGCAATGGCATCCCGAGGTAGAGCTTTTCTCGTTTTTCACCTCTTTGTTTAGATATTCTCTCGATTTTGCAGAAGAATGCTTTCGAATGGGGATACGAAGGAATACCTCACTCTCCGGATGCCGTTCGAATTACACAGAGCGCTGCGAGCTTCTTCGTCAGGTAATTCTCTTCACCTTCTCATTAGACAGGATAAACTGTCGACTGTTTGTCTGAGTAGCGAGGCTCTGAAGTCAAGCCACACAGCTTCTTGGGAAGAAGAAGAGCAGCTATTGATCTACAACTATTCGCCAATCTATTCCGGACGAGACGGGTACTTACTCCCATCAAAATCTAAAATCGCTCAGAGCCTCTTTGTACTGTGCTTGTAGGAAGGGACACTTCGATCAATCTTACGTCTTCTGGTGAAGCAATCTGATAATACAAGTACTATTATTTTAGCTGAGGCCTCTAATCCGTCGTCGTCTATTCCGGTCAGGATGCCTGGCTTTCATCCAGGCGACCCTGGTTCAAATCCCGGCAACGGAATTGTATTTGATCCTCTCCACGTCACAGGAAAGGATGTGCACACTTTTCACAAGGGCAGAATAATCTCAACTGGCTGCCCACTTGCAGGCAGGGAGGACGAGTACGATATTGCAAGTTGTAAGTAATCTGCCCTAGTGCGATGCTGCGAGGAGTTATTAGAGGTGATGGTTGTGGTACACGGGAAACAGCTTTCAGTTCTTCCATCTGATGCTTTTCCAGAGCTACAGCTCTCATAGCTTTGTGAGTTCGCATCTAATTTCTATTGTTTAAACTTTATATTCCCTGGTCTTCACGTGATCGCACCATTGGCAACTGTGTTTAGTTCTTGGTAAGAATCTTATTGATAAACCCACGTGGCTAACGTGGTCTGTACAGTTCTGAAGAAACCTGTATACGTGGGACAAAAAAGTCCTTCAGATTGTACTAGTTCAGTACGGGCTTGCCCTTAACCTCTTCATTAGGCCATTGGTTTCTTTCGCGTGGGCCTTGGACTACGAAAGGGAATGCTCTTCTTTGTTCTGGAAGAATGCATGTAGGAAAAGCTGGATTGGCTCTTTAGCTCTATCCCGTATCATTTTTTACTTTAAACCCATTATTTAAATGATTGTTATAACTAATAAAAATGTAAAACTAAATTCAAGATAAAACAATAAATATAAATACCCTTACCTTTAAGATTTTATAACTGTACAAACTTTGCTATATATATATATATATTACGTTTGTGTGTGTTCCTATGATCAACCATGGCTAGTGTTGTGACGGTGTTGGGGTCTTGGACTGTCAAGCCCGAAACTCCAACTCCACAGCCCCGGATTCACAAGCTCTCCAATCTCGACTTCCACATCTCCTTTGAGAATTATACCAAGCAAGTCTACTATTTCCCACCATCTAGCAGGGATGATCTTGTCGAGAGCTTGAGAGCTTCGCTGTCCAGAGTGCTTGTCCCGTTTTATGTCTTGGCAGGGCGGGTGCGCAGGGCGGAAGATGGTCACAAGCTGGAGGTGGATTGCAACGACGCTGGTGTCTCGTTTGTGGAGGCGAGTGCCCCCGACGCCAGCTTCAGCGATTGGAAAAATATGGCGTTTTGCTCCATCGAGCAGCATCTCAATCCTTCGGAAGTGGCCATCACGGATCCAGACACTGCTCCGATCTTCAAAGTTCAGGCAGGTTTCTTGATATCGCAGTTAATTCCTAAATATTCATGGAATTCCTGAATCTAGGTGACGAAGTTCAAGTGTGGTGGGATTGCATTGGGGATCTTAGTGGCCGAAGTGGTGCTAGATGGATCCTCAAACTTTGCGTTTGTGAATGCTTGGTCCGAAATCCACCGAGGCCTGCCGCTTTTGAGCCCTCCGGTTTTTGCCTCTAACATTTTCCAGGCCAGGCAGCCCCCAGCGATCATTCTGCCAGTCCGCGACTACTACTCCTCTCCGATCTATAACACTCACTCGGACAAAGCAACCGACGTAACGTGCGAGTACGTCGTGAAGATGTTTGAGATGGATCCTGACCAAGTCGACGATCTTATCCGAGACGTTCACAGTGGTCCGTACAGCTATGGCCGCCCTCCAACCTCGTTCGAGGCAACGAGCGCCATGATCTGGAAAGCCATCACCGAGGCCAGAGATCTCCAAGACTCGATCATCACAAGCTACGTCTATGCGATCTCTCTCAAGGGCAAGAACCGCTGGAACCCCCCAGTCCCAGCCTCGTACATTGGCAATAGCATCCACTCGCCATGCCTCACTGCCAAGGCCGGGGACATCAAATCCCGCCATCTCTCCTACGCTGCGAGGCTCTTCCACGAGGATATCCTAAGCACCACTCAAGAACACATGCAATCCGCCATCGATTGGATGGAGATGGAGCTGGGCAGAGGAAGGAAGATCAATCTAAATGGTGATTTTGTGTCGGGGACTGGGATCTACAGCACGAGCTTGCACAGTTTCCCTGTGTACAGCGTTGATTTTGGATGGGGAAAGACTGTACACTACTCTCTGGTAATGCAGCCGCCGTGGTATGGGAACGGTGTCACGGTGATTCTCCCCAGCCCGAGAGGGGGAAGGCACCGGCGGCTGCTCATCTCGCTACCTGCAATCCATATGAAGAAGCTCGTGAACCATGAATTCTTCCGCAAGTATACTACTCTGGGATCGTAGGAATGATCATATCTATTGGTGTTGGTAATTTATTTATTTGTAACCTTATTTTACTCTTTATATATTATTTGTTTTCTTTTAGAGATTTTCTATGCAATGAACCAATCAAATCTTACTTCAACTGTCAGATCTTTGGACCGGGGCTGCTTTTGTTCTGACCAATAGGAGGCCTGCAGACCATTTTGCCAGAGAAGAACAAAGTGCAACATGTATCTTGGGCGATGAGCTGGGGGAGCAACAGCTGTCACGCAGCTGAAGGGCAATTGGCTGTGAATTATATTGGCCAAAGGCACAATTGGCACGATTTTTTATGTTTGCGAATCTCAATATCTTTTTGCAGTCTTTCTCATGCCCAAGTTTTTGCCTTGGAGACTTCTTTAGATCAGCGCCAATTGTCCTTTATGGTTGCCACATGAAACCCTTATGAGATGAATTCTTGGGTACTACCAATAACTCATACTATTCAGCATGAACTGGACGAAGAACTTGCCTCCCACAGAATTTACAAAATGTGTGTACTGGTAAGGTAATTATTATTATTTTTTATCTTTGTGTTAAATTGTGGTACGAGGGTGGCTTTTCTCTGAGCTGTGGCAACTAGGTTGCCCATGATAATGTGCATGTCTTGGACATGTCCATTATGTCACACTACACAATGCACTCCCAGCTTTCCATTTTGCAAAATTTTTTACAAAGTGTTTGGTTCATCTTTTTTTGATTTTCCTGAGAAAAAAGGTGTTTTGGATTGTTATACCTTTATCCCTTTTTATATAAATAATCTTACTTTAATACCAAAAAGGTATTAACTCATTTAAGTTATGTATTGAGAATATTTTGAATTTTTATACATTTGTATTTACCCACCCTTTGGTGGGTCCACAATATATAAGGATTTCCCAACCTCCATTTGGCGTCCATTTTCAGTTTGGGCTAGGTTTAGAAGAGTGTTGGTAGCTATGGTTTTGAGAAAAATTGTTATGATGGTTTGGAAATACCAACACAGCTTAGTGGGCAACAATAGACAGAAACACTATAAGTGTAGTTTGTTTCTTTATGACCTAATCAACATTTCAATCTTGTAAGAGTTGTTGTTCAAGATCTAGGTAGGAATCACATGTTTGGACCAGCCTTGGTTTCCATGGTTTTTGGAAAAATCAGGATGATCTTTTGCTTGCTAATAGGTGCATAATTGTTTTCAAGTTGTTATGGTTGCTTCAAAATACACACACATAAACCCATCATCCATGGGGAGGATGGTCGAGTATGCCACGGAAAAGCTGGATGCAACAAGTATGGTGATAAAGCACCACACCCAGATCAGGAACAAAGTCGCGACTCATCTATGTCTATAGAAACAAATTCGATACTTATACAAATCTCTCCGAGCATCGAAGAAGTGACAAGTACACAAATGGACAACACTAGGTGAATGATGGATGCTAAAGACCTGAAAAAAATTCCAAAACTTAGGCCACAAGGTCCAACACACAATGCAGCATAGATATTGCAAAACCATTGGCTATCAATACAGCCAATGAGGTGAGTTTAGGCTAAGAAGATCACAACCAAAAAATTCAATAGCACAAAGAGGACGAGGCTACAAAGAGAGTCTATGTAGCGCACATGGTTTTTACCCTTTATCCTATGGTGATTTACTATAGGATAATACCACAAAGCGGAACCTAAACCCTCTTTGTGCCACGTGTCCAAAGGACAGTGGTGTGGAACCCGAAGTTTAGGGCCTTGGGCCACTGAACAAAGGAACGGTGCCAAACCCCCAAGCTTGGAGCCAAGGAGTGATGGAACTAGACCACAGAGCAACTCCCGAGTATACAGCCCAAGGAGCGAAGGGACAGGAGCTCGGAGCGACTTGGAACAGTCCTAGAGCAATCAGCATCCTAATGCCAGGACCAGCATGCAAAACAGAGCCAAACGGAGTTTGGTGCTATTTCAGCATACCGGTGGCCTAACGCAAGGAAATGGTGTAAGCAACTAATTTTTCCATTCTACTTTAGTCACTTAACCACACCTCCGACCACTTGGAGGAGTCTCACTCACAACCTCCATAAGTCCTATTTCAGACTCAGGCTTGTTAGCCCTGAGAATGGCATCCCCGCCACTCAACTTTTGCACTTGGTCCAAGTGCTCCATGTGTCCGATCTCATGACCGACACCCCAAGGTACCACCAACATACTGGCCCGTTACGCTAAGGCCATGCCCATTACCCTTGGTCACACAGGTGGTCCAACACCACCTGCATCACCGTCCCATCTCTCAAAGACTGGGCCATCTGTCCATGAATGACCATCCTAGGTCCACTCCTTAGCATCCTTAAGATGCCTGCAAGTATGGGGAACAGCCTTCCCCAATATCCCTTTAACAGTCCCCACCAAGATCCTTTTCTGTCCATCGCCATGTTCACCAACACTGCCACTGGATCAAGGCCCACAGGCCCGACCACCAAGTCCCACTGTCCTCTGGGACTTCCTCACCATATGACCGTGTCATTGGTCACCACACCCAAGGATCACTGCTCTTCCTTTCCATAGCCTGGGACTTTAGGACAGCATTTTGGAACACCGTGACCTTATGCAGGCCTCCTGGGTACTCTCCCCGCCTTCCGCCTTTGGGTGCTCTAGCCATGGGCTTAGAGCGAGGTTTTGTTGAGCCATGCCTGGTATCCAAGTAGGTAATGCCACCCACATTTGGACTGGGAGCATCGGCCAGTCAACCTCCTGGGGGAACTAGAGCCGACTCTTGAACACTTCACGAAACTACCCCACTTGTCGGTCCGTATTCACTCTAGTCTTGGATTTCCCAGTGGTCAGTTCATCACCCAACACTGGGTATGGCCTTCCTGGGCCAAACTGGCCTTTCCTGGGCCAAACTGGCCTTTCCTGGCCAAACTGGCCTTTCCTGGGCCAAACTGGCCTTTCCTGGCCAAACTGGCTCCACTGGGCTCCAACCCCCACACTCTCCCTACTATACTTTTGGAACCCCCCGCAGCCCCCCCGGGGGACAATCGCTTTGGGCTTTCACCCAACTGCCTGTATTAGTATTCGGACTCGGACTCGGACTCGGTCTCAGACTCGGTCTCGGTCCCGGTTTCAGACTCGGA